TCCTTCAGGATTTTTTGGTAGACAGCAGAATTCATGGTTCCATTTACCACAGCAAGTCTTCCAGGTCCTGAAGCAGCAAAACAGCCCCAGACCATCACACTACCACCACCATATTTTACTGTTGGTATGATGTTCCTTTTCTGAAATGCCGTGTTACTTTTACGCCAGATGTAATGGGACCTTCCACCTTCCAAAAAGTTCAACTTTTGTCTCGTCAGTCCACAGAGTATTTTCCCAAAAGTCTTGGGGATCATCATTTTTGCCCAGTCTCTTTCTTATGGTGGAGTCATGAACACTGACCTTAATTGAGGCAAGTGAGGCCTGCAGTTCTTTGGATGTTGTTCTGGGGTCTTTTGTGACCTCTTGGATGAGTCGTCGCTGCGCTCTTGGGGTAATTTTGGTCGGCCGGCCACTCCTGGGAAGGTTCACCACTGTTCCATGTTTTCGTCATTTGTGGATAATGGCTCTCACTGTGGTTCGCTGGAGTCCCAAAGCTTTAGAAATGGCTTTGTAACCTTTTCCAGACTGATAGATCTCAATTACTTTGTTTCTCATTTGTTCCTGAATTTCTTTGGATCGCAGCATAATGTCTAGCTTTTGAGGATCTTTTGGTCTACCTCACTTTGTCAGGCAGGTCCTATTTAAGTGATTTCTTGATTGAGAACAGGTGTGGCAGTAATCAGGCCTGGGTGTGGCTAGAGAAATTGAACTCAGCTTTCCAAAGATGTGATAAACACAGTTAATTTATGTTTTAACAGGGGAGGGCAATCACTTTTTCACACAACTGTATGTGTCCGAGAGAGACAGAGAGACAGAATAAGGCCAAACTGACGCCACAGACCACAGCGTCTGTTTCAGCTCAGACTGGTTTCTGTACGTTTCAAACTGGCTTTTGTGGTTTAGGAACGTCGCTCATGGCCTCTGCAGCAAAATAAAGTAGTGAGATGAGTAATCAGCAGCTTGGCATTACTGCAATGACTCACAATGGCAACACCAAACCCAACCTGAAAGTTCACCAACAACAAACAAACAAACATCAAGCACATAACCAGGTACTCTTTTGCTGTTTCAGTCAGCAAATATGATTTCAACAGGATCAAAGTAAGAGTTTCATCCAAAGTACCGGACAACACCACGAGTGCATACGTTGTGCCGTTAGTGACCCCGGCAGGTGTTTGAACCACTAACCCTGCCTGCGTAATTGCCTTGCTTTCACTGCTCAGCATCATTTGTGATTTCACCGTCTTCTCACGCCAGCCGATAGAAGCCAGCGGGATTGTACCGAGTAGTGTGAAGACGCTTCCACTCGATCAATGTGAACACAAACTGTTCTCCGATTAACCAGAGAACACGAGAACCAAACCTCGTGTTTAGCTGCTGTGGCTGAGTGGAACCTCTGAGGTTCTTCAGAAGTCTCAGTGTTCTCAATCTAGTCCTCGGCTTGCAGGTCGCGTAATATTTGGCGCAAGATGCAGCTCGTCTTAAATATACGGGAGCAGATGACATCAAGTCATTAACGGTTTAAGTTAGATGGAGATAGAAATGTTCTACGTTCTAATTCTAAAGGTGAGGGTTTGCTGATCTTCCCCGTTTTATTTCACAGAATATTTTTGGGTTTCAGAATGTTTGTTGAACAAAAGTGATGTCAACGCATCAAAAAACAATTGTCACAAAGTGGTTCAACGACTTTAAAAGAAGCCCCTATTTTAACATTATTTCCCATAATTCACTATGGTGCAACCGCTTTAGATTTGAGGAACTCTGATGCTGGCCTGGTTTCAGACCTCCGATTCTTTTAACAATCCAACATACTGTAGGTCTGCTGTGCTCGTCTCCCCACAGTTGGAAAAACAACAACAACCAATCAGAGCTTTGTGGGCGGCATTAAGCTAGAAACAGCTAAATCCTTGAAATAATGCGACACACAACACTGGCAGTGTGGATGAGATTGACACAGTTACACCGGCTGTTTTAAATCCACTTAATCTTTAATAGACATGTATTTCTATTGACGCGTTAACTGCTCTGAGCACTACCACGGCTTCTGTGTTGACATATAAACCTAAATAACTCCCCCACCCCAAACAGAGGACAGAACAACATGAACACGCCAGGCTGATTGAAGAAGGGGCAATATAGTCTGATAGTCAAGTGTCAAAAACCACCATTGTTTCCTGAGGAAAACATTAAATCATAGCGCAGACACGACTTTATATCAGATCCAGTAAAAAGGGTCACAAACCATGTTTGTGTGGTTGTTTTAATACACTCTTAATTCCAACCTACAGCCACCCAAAAGTCTGAATCATACACAGTCGCACGACAAAGCATGCAAAAACACAAACTGGCGGCGTTGAGGACCATATTGTGTCTCCGAGCTACGGGTGGCAAATCAAAATTTCAAGTGCCTCGCATGGGAGCCAAACAGAGCGTCTCTTATTGGGGTTACAAAGCAATATTGTGCTGAATTATTCTAATGGAGGTCTGTTACGCCTTTGGGCATGATCTCGTATGTAGGCTACCGCAGAGCACAGCCAAAGAGGACCGGGACGTTTGTTCCAGAGCAGACAGCCAGCGTGCTGCTGCTGCCCATACTGGCTCAGCACAGTGTGGTAATGACATAAAGTAGGACCAGGTCTGTGAGGCAGACCTGATCACCCAACATCAGTGTTCAGACCTCCCTAATGCTCGTGGAGCTGAATGGGACCAAATCCCTGCAGCCATGTTGCTGAAATCCGGTGGAAAGACTGAAACCAGATCAATAGCACAAATAGTGACCACCGCTTCAAAAAGAGACAACAAGTTCTCTCACTGCGGTAAATTTGGGCTTGTGTTGAATTGGGTTCCCCCGTTAAATAACAAAGGAATAAACCCCATCTTTGTCCCGGCGTGACGTCCATTGTTCTTCGAGGCGGGACCCAAAGAGAATATGTTGCATTGTGTGGCTGCTGGGCTGGTTCCATTTGGTGCCATTTGACTAAATATTTTCTAAAAAGTCAAAGTTGAAATCTCCCTCACCGTGAGTCTTTTATCTCCATTAGCATCTGAGATGAACCGGAAGACACCTTTGATCTGAAAAGGGATTACCAGACAAATGGTACGGATTGATTTCGGCCTTTGCCAGGAAGTTCCCCCTCTGCTTTTATACGCGCTCGATCAATCTGTGTTTTTAAAAAAGTGTCTGCAGAGCAAAGGGCTGAATGAATACAGCAGAGGTCCGACTACGAGGCATTCCCGCTGAATCCACAGCACAGCTGCAGATTTACTCAAGACATCATCTGTCTCCGCTCGTCTCATGTTCTGCCACTAACATAATAACTCAAGTGGGCTGAGTAGCATAAGAGGCCTATCTGTGTACAGTCGTCCCTTTGTGCACACTTCATGGTCAATATCAGGCACACTGTAGATCTCACCCCGGGGCAAAAGAGAGCGGGAGAGTCAGGTCTACAAAACTAACGCACCAAAATTTTAAAACACCTGAAAGGCACTTTGAACAAACTGCAAACCAAAGATCTTTAAATGCACATTGTATGCTTCCTGTTGAGCAGGGTAGTCAACTGCAAAAACAGAAATACTGTATAAATGTTCGTCCAAATGTGATCCAAATTTCCAGAAAATAGGCAAAAGAAAATGGGAGTTGAGTGAGTATGACTTAATACGTTAGCTTGACTTTCTCAGACCACGACGCTCCGCTACGGTCGCAATGATCACGTGCTTAACGTTGTGAATTCAAACAAAAACACTTGTTTAGGTTTATGCAACAAGGCCACTTAGTTAGGTTTTAGAAAAACATCATGGCTGGGCTCAAATTAAGCCCGTAAAGGAAATAAAACGTAACATAAGTACAGAAAACACGTCAAAAACATCGTTGACTTAACTTAACACCCAAGGACTCGAACATCGGTCTCCTGGGTGAAAGTCTGGTTTCTTTCTTCAAGGTTATTTTGGTTTGCAAGATTTTTCAAATCTAAGATTTGAGTTGGTTGTCCAACAAGTCCGTTTACGTGGATTATGAAACATCAAAGTAAATCAACAAGGAAAACATGGACGTTATGAAATAATAAAAAAAAGTAAATTTGGATTCTAATACAGCAGCCATACTTTCTCCAACTGATTACTTTGGAAAGTAAAAGCTATTACACAACCTTTACCGGTAATAAACTGGCAGGACTTTGCTGGCTTGTGTGTTTTTCCAAGACTCTGGACTGAACTGTGATGGTTTTAAAAACGGACGGCGTCCTCATTCCAGTGACTAGAGAAGCTGTCAGCTGCCATCAAACCAACCAAGCACACCACCACGTTCCTGCAGCCAAACTGTATCTGCTGCTGTCGGCTGGATACCCGGCTCGGCTCCAACCTGCCGACCCTTTAGCCCGTTAAATGTTTTCATTCAGCCGTCACAAAAGCAACTGAATACCAAGAGTTTACTGGTGAAGTGGGCCTCGCCAGACGAGACGCTTTTTGGTGACTTGTCAAAGTGGCTGGTAGAGCAGATACGGTTACAATCAACAACTTAAATTAAAAGGCAGATATGTTGTGACTTTTAGTTTCCGATTATGGGACAAGCTCTAAAAATGTTGGTGCACTACAACCAGAACTTTTCAAAATGTCCACACAATTATTTATAGGAGCTGCTGCACTGTTAGCACCGTTAGCGCTGTTAGCACCGTTAGCTATGAGCCGCCTTGAGAGCCGTCGAAAGGCAATCAAAATCTCGGCTCTTGCAGCATTTTCCAAACTTCTAGCAACTAAGAATATTTTGATCTCGCCTTAGGACCAATAGCCTCATGCATACTGCAGGGAAACAGTTAAAGTGAAATTTTCTTCTTTCTATAATATGTTTTTATTTCTATGTCTGGAGACGACCCCATGCTCTCCAGGCTCCTTGCAGGTGACATCGTACCAACAACCGGCTGCTCCACAGATCAAAGCCCCTCTCTTTTTTGCCAATGGTTGCTCGGAGCCCCCCCCACCCCCACCCCCACCCCCACCCCCACCGACAGGAATGCACAAAAGACCTTCCCCTATTCCCTCCGCCTCCCCTCCTCTCTTTCATAACCCAACTCTCATTTGTTGGTTAATTAGGCTTTACCTTGTTTGAGTCCACTGAGGCGAGAACTTCAGGGGAAGTATGTGGAAGGGGGGGGGGGGGACCGTAGACCTGTCGGCCACGGCAGTGGCAGAAACGGGTGCGACAGGAACTTTTTCTGCCTATTGCTTCCACATCCTGACTGCTGATGTGCCTTTGAGCAAAGCACTGGAGCCCACTCAGTGACTGGCAACAGTTTAACCGCTAACGGCTAACCAACGGAGGTTCACTTTCTTTTGTGCTGATCCGAACTGTGACTTTTATGATCCTAGTTTCTACTAAACTGTAACGTAGTTTCAGTTGCTGCAACATGCTGGATGTGAATGACAGCTGTTTTCTATCAACAACAACAACAACAACAACAAGAGACACCGGTACCCAACAACCCTCACTGTCACACAGACTCTTACCCAGATACAGCGAGGCATTCTCCTTCTTGACGTTGTCGTCCAGGTAGGTGGGTCCCAGCGTGTAGATGGGCGTGGACCCCATGCCCACCAGGATCTGGGCGATGACGAACAGGGCCACGTACAGGTTGTGCTCGTTGCCCTCCTGGTCTCGGGGACAGGAAGTGATGTCGACGCGGTCCCTGCTGCTGGCGTTGCCGATGCTGTTCATGCAGAGGCCCTCGTTGCCGGAGGACGAGTTGACCTCCTGGATCTGGTAGGCCGGCGAGATGAAGTGAGGTAAGGAGAAGAGGGCGGCACCCACCGCGATGAAGATGCCACCCACCGCCAGCCAGCGAGGCCTCTGGCCCCGCCCACCGAAGTAGCTGATGAAGACGACCACCAGGAGGCTCCCGATGTCGAAACAGCTGACGAGGAGGCCCGACTCGGAGCTCCTCAGGCTGTAGCGCTTCTCGATGGTGGTGATGACGCTGCTGAGGTAGCCGGACACCATGAGCGACTGGATGAACGTCAGGTAGCACATGCAGAACAGGAAGCAGCGAGAGTCCTGGATGAAGACGCTCAGGGACTTCCTGCTGGGCAGTCGTAGGCGAGCCAGCCTGGAGGCAAAAATACCCGGCGGCTTCCTTCTCGCCGTGTTTTTACTCCTCCGGTTCTCCGTGTTCTCCATGTACGAGCTCGGCCTGTTCAGCGCCGACTTCCCCGGCTTGGGCTGGTAGTTCGTTCTGGTCGGGGGCTCCGGCTGGAAGGACTCGGTCTTGCCCGAGAGCTGGATGAATTCAGCGTTCTCTTCCGCGGTTATGGACGCAGAACTGGCCAGCAACATTTCCTCTTGAGGCGCTTCTTCGGTTAGAACGGGCAGACTTTTAGATTGGAAGTGCGTGCCGGGTTCCTCGGGCTCGCTGGAGAACCCGTCCCCCTTCTGGAGGGACTCGGACAACTCCGCTTCCTCGTGGTCGGCCATCGCTTCCAATCAAACCTTCCTTGTCTTTTAGGCGACAGAAAAATACAAAAAAAAAACGCCCCAGTTCCAAGTCTACATTCACAGTTCAGGGGCTGCAGCCCATTACATCTATTATTAATAAGAACATGGACTCGCCACAAATACAGTCTGGCACACGAAGAGGCTCAAAAAACAACAAAAAAACGGCAACAATGTCACCAATAAGAGAGTTGACTCACAGCTTCTGCTGCTTATCTGCAGCGCAGGCTGGACCGCCTCTTGTTCATCTGGTCATGCACACTTTGCCTTCTGCCACCATCCGATCCGGAGGGCTGGAGACGAGCTCAGGCCTCCTCAGCTCGACCCGCCGGAGAGCTCCAGGGCCGAGGATCCCTGCAGACGCTCACTAACATCTCCACTCGATGGCTTTGCTATACAAGACGCTGCGCTGATGATGATGGTGCTGATGATGCTGATGATGATGATCCTCGGCCGGCAGGGACGAGATGAACTTGCAGAGCATGCGCTGCATCGCTGACACCCTCCTGCCAATGAAGATCACACAATGGTCACAATGTCACTTCTTTCCATTACATTCCCAATGTCCCTCCTCGCTCATCCTCCCCCAAGTCAAGGGCATCACCACCACCCACCCCCGCCCCGATGTTATCACCGCACCAGCTGTCATTTAGTGATTATATTTCTGTGTAAATCCGCTGGTCGTCTGGTGACGAGCTGCTCGGATAATAACGCTGCTCAGAAAAACACCGCAGTGCTCAGCTGCTGCTCAGCTGTTTTGAAAACATCTGCGTCAAGCTAACGCAGTCAACGCCGCGGACACCGGAAAAGTGCACTTCAAAATAAAAGCGCACTCCAACAATTGTAGTATGTGTGCAAAAATCTGACCGGACTGAATATATTTCGCATCTTTCTTTTTGTGCCAAAACAAATGACAAAAAAATGATGGTGATGTAAATACCATTTGTTATGTCAATTAATTGGGCAGGATTTATAGAACCAGTATTCACCAGCTTTTTAGATGAGGTTTTACTTTGAAAGGTACAACAGGAAGTCCTTAACAATACAGCTATCTTGCCAGCTAGCTGCACAGCTAGCAGCTAAACTCCGCAGTGGTAACGTTAACGGATAAAACAACAATGTCTGCTCTCCACTAACCTGAACACTGCGAAGCGACGACACGAGCCTTTAAGTCTTCATGGCCGAGTTACACCAACACGCTCTGTGGGAGGACGGGCGTGTAATAAAATAAAATAACACGTTCATGTCAAAATATCTCTCCTACAAAGCATCTTCTCCCGGAGCTGCGTCAAGGCGCAGGCAATTAGCCAGAAAAGACCGGAAACACTTCAAAATAAAAGCACAACGCGTGTCACTCAGAGAAAAAGGGCTGGAAAGTAAAACCTCTTTTCAACAACATGACAAATCAAAGAAAAAAATATAGATATGAAACAAATAATAAGCGGAAACAGAAAAGCTAGAAGAAGAAAGTGAGATACATAATAATAATAATACATTGTAGTTGTATAGCACTTTAAAATGTACTCAAAGACGCTTTAATGGTAAAAACAGAAACAAAAGAAGAAATTATAACATAAACAACATAGATGACATAACATTAAGGAACATACTATATATGAATACTTATCCCCAAATGTAATTTAATACAAAAGGCAGAAGTAGACACCGAATATGTGGGGCAACAAAACTGAACACTGCTTTTCAATTTTGTTATGTTTTTAACAAAATTTGATTTTAAAATGTCTGTAACACTGGATTATATCCCTTTTTTTTACTGTAGAAAGAGACTTTAATGGCTTTGCAGCTGTGTCATAAATCTCAAAAATCGATCAGAACGATAATTTAAATAAGTGTTAATGTCAACACACGCGTAAATTACCTCTACCGGTAGCTTCTACATATTGAACTGCAAATCAAATAACAAATCTGATAGTTTAATAAAGCTAATGAATTGCAATACATTTATGCAAGGAACGGTATGAAACAAACATGTGGATTAGCTTGTTTCATTGACAGCAAATATTGGGCAGCAGAAACATAACACAGTCTTTTGAGTCAAAAGAAAGACAATAAATTACCTTCTCTTATACATCAAGTTGTGATTATATTATGTAAACACACACAATTTATACTGTACACTTCAACATGGTTGATTTCCAGGTAAAGCTCTAATTAGTAGCATGAAAAAGTCTAAAGTACAGCAGACACACCATCTTAAAAAATCAAACAATTCCAACTCAAACAAAGAATAACAAGAAATATAATTATGAGTATGAATGAAAAGAGTATGAATACATCAAATCATGCAGCAAAAGTAATATTGGTGTTGAATTAGAGAAACACATGTAATAAACAGCGTCATCAGTAGCAAATTACAAAATACATTTGTATTTCTTGACAGTTCAAAATGTCAAAAAATTCATCAGTAATTCAAAAAGTATTTACTCCCCCACACTAATGTCTGACTCATAGTTTGAGTTACAGTTCATCCCACAGGTGTGTTGTAAATGGCTGTAGAGCACCTTTAGTGTGCGACAGTAGAATACATGAGTAAAGAGCGACCTCTAGTGGAGAACTTCTGCAAATAGCTGAAGGAGAAAGAAGATTGAAGTTCAATGGAAGTCACATTAGACGTTGACTCAATGATTATTAGCATTTAAATTGTAATTTAAGCTTCAGCTCAACTGCTTCAACACTATAACATCCTGCCTTTAAACATATTGAAAGTACATTTACACGACTACTGCCCTTAATAAACCGGACAAATGAGCATTTAACTGGAGTGTACTTTGCATCTAAAATATGTAATATGTAATCTCACCATCAACATATACAGAGTAAACATCAGACCTACAACAATAAAAGAAAATTAATGCATCAATGTTGCCATTTTCTGATGTCTTTACTGCAAATATATAAATGGAATATTTAAAATGAGGACTTTTAGTCAAGTATTCATCTATCAACTATTTCCAGTGAATTAAATCAATCACCGAGTCTTTTTCCTGGGAAAACCCCCATCTTTCAAGATTGATGTTTGTTAAACAAAGCTCCTAAAAATCCTGTAATCTGTGCACCAGAAACTACCTCGTGGGCAGGAGAAGGTTTCTCGTGAGCACCTGTGAGTTTTGCCCATGTCCCCTTTGGAGCTCTTTTACATTTGTAGTTTGTTTTGCAAGAATTAAAAAAAAACAAAAAACGGCAGAGTTAGTATTAGCAGTCACACAAAGGCAAACACAGGATACCAAAGTGCCAACCACTATTGCACTTAAATCTAGTTCACACATTATCTATTTTATACGTTTTGCCTTCTTCAACTCACACACCTCAGCAGTGTTTTCATCTGGACCAAAAAGATGAATTCCAGCATAGAGAGGCTGAGTGAATGTGGTCTGGACTCTGTGGA